GCACAGGAAAGGTGGGGAAACTAAGGCCAGAGGGTTGACAGCACTCACTCAGGAAGGGATTGAGAAGGGAAGCGTAAAGCTAAGAAAAAAGACCGTAGTGAGAACAGCTGGTTTTCTTTAAAAATTCAGGATATACGCATGTGGGTATACTTCTCCAAAAGAACTGAGCCGGGCATAGTGGCACATGCATGGAGTCTCAGCTACTTGGGTTAGAGAAGCAGGAGGATCACCTGAATGCAGGAGATTGAGGCCAACCTGGGTGACAAGGAGAGGCACTATCTCAAAAGAAAAATGGTAGAAATCAGGGCCTCACGCTGACATCTACACTGCCATGTTCAGTGTAGCACTCACCCAACTGTAGCTAAGGTATGGAAGCAACCTAAATGTCCTTCAGGGGAGTGGACAGACAGATGAATAAAGAAAATGTGGCATTAACTATACAATGGAATAGTACTTATCCCCAAGAAGGGCGGAAGTTCTGCCATATGCAAAACATGGATGAATCTTGAGGACATTATGTGCAAAGATATAAGGCAGTTGCGGAAACACAAATACTACATAATCCCATTCATAAGTGGAAAATAAAACCTTCCAATTTGTAGAATCAAAGAGTAGTGGGTTGCCAGGGGCTGGGGATACAGGAAATGGGGGTTACCAATCACTGAGTATAAAATTTCAGTAGTGTAAGATGAGTAAGTTCTAGAGATTTCTGTAGAGCCTTGTACTTAGAGTCAACATTGCACCTTTAAAAATTGTTAAGAGAGGGCTGGGGATATAGCTCAGTGGCACAGCATCTGCCTGGAAAGCATAAGGTCTTGAGTCCAAGTCTCAGTACCAAAAAAAAAAAAAAAGTTGTTAAGAGAGTAGATTTCATGTTGATTGTTCTTACCATGACAAAAAAAAAAGAATTCAAGAGATATTGTTATATATATATTTAGTAGGATATAAACACACACCCAAATGCCCATTATATTACTATGTCATCAGAGAGGGGTGACAATCTGAGTCCATTTCCACAGCCCAGGAGTGACAATTTTCCCTCTATGCTTTCCATACTTTAAATGTTTCTGCACAAGACTCCATCTCCTTTGCTCTCACTCTTACCCTGGGGGCAGAAAGCTGCTTTCTGACCTATAATTTCGCCTGTGAGGGACCGGCCCACCAGGAAGATGGGTGATGTCCTGCACAAATAGCGCCCCTTGGCCCGGTCCTCTTCTATAAGCTGTGCCTGTAAGTGCATGACGGCTTAGGGGAACATTCTGGATATAAATCATAACAAACGTAATAACCCTGTGTAACTTCCCACAATGGCAGACCAGCAAGTGCGGGCCAGGTCTAGCAAGAGGTCTTCTCTGTGCTGAGAAGCACAGATATGGTACTGGGCTTGCAGAGCCAGGCCAAGGTCAAGACGGTCGTGACATAGTCAAGAAAACACCATAAGGACACAGGAAAAACTACGGGGCTCTTACTGTTACTCACAAAAGCATGATTTATGTTTTCTTCTAAGACAATCAGGGCCTTCAGAGTGGTTTTTGCTAAAACCCATGACTCTTCACTTGAGGCTCACTAAAAGCAGAACAAAGCTTCTTTTCTGAAACTCTGGGTCAAATCCTTTTCAGCTCCATACAGGCATGCTAGTCTTTCAGGGATTACCTGTCTAAAAGTTGCCAAAACAAGGCTTATGAGCCATAAATTTACCTACCCTATCTCCTTACCCATCAAGATAAAGACACTGGGATCAAAGATTTGAGGAACATTCAGCTACACCCAGGATCTCCAGAGCCTCGCATGACTGGGGCTGCCCCTCAGGCCGTGAGGAACCCGCCCATGCCCACCGAGGGAAACCAAACCACCAGGATTCAACCTCAACTACAAAGTCCGCACTGACTAACCAGACACCAGCCTGCCACAGCACCCCATGACACTGTCCTCCCCCCTTGTATGGGTGGGTCACTCTGATCTTCATCGGAGTCAAGCCAGAGCCCTTTCTTTATCTTCTCTAAACCTTCTGATTAAAGACTTGGCCTGGAAACTCATACTGTTGCTTTATTTTCAATTTCCATTATCACTGAAGCAAGGCTCCATCCTAGCGGGTGATGGCTTGGCCCCATAAAGCCCATCCTCTTTGGCAAACCAGGTCCTGTGCTCATTAGAACCATTGCACCTTTCCTTTCCCTGTGAAGGGTTCTGGATTTCTTCAAGAAGGGAATACAGGGCATAGGAGAGAGGAGGAGGAGGGCGAGGGGAGGGGGAAGCTGGAATTCCAGGGCCAAAGCTGCCGAGGCAGAACTGTGCACCTATGTGCAACACTTCCATAATCTAAGTTTACAATGCATACCCTGAAAGAAGTGAGGGGAGATGGCAGCACATCGGGGAGCTCTGGGCAAAGTACCTGCCACCACAAGATAATAAATAACAGTAATCAGGTCTTCCTGGAAAACAGATTAGCACTGTTATTAAAACTTTTATTATCTATATGTTTTATAGGAATCCAACAGCCTCCAGCTGCTATAATTTGGAAGCAATGAGGATGAAAGTAGAAGTAATAATAATGAATTAAACTACAAGCACATCTGTGTCTGGGGAAGGTGTGGGGGCTGGTTCACAGGTGGGGCCCAACATCCAGGACCCTAACATTCTGCTCTTGTCTGTACAAGGCAGATCCCAGACCCCCAAGGTCTACAGTGGGCCCAGGATGCACTCACAACCTGTCTGAGCACTCACCTCTCAAATACCACCCCTAGGTAGAGCAGGTTCCTAACAACGGAATTCCTCTCCTCCTCTCTTCCCATGATGATGAAAATCATTACCTGTGCCTGTAAAAGTAACCTCACTTCTTTCACTTTGGAGTTCACCTGGCTGTTATCTCTGTGGCTTAGAGACTGTTAATATTCATCGATGGACAAGAGAGTTCTCTCCTACTATTTAACAAAGCCCTGTATCTCACTTCATAAATCAAAGAAAACACGAGGTTTGTTACAGATGGTCCCAGTCTCTTACAGTGAGGACAGCCTTGCAGCCTGGGGCGAGGGGGGTCATACACATTTAAGGGGCCAAATCTCACCCTGGGAAGCTTTTTTTCCAGCTTGGACTCTGACTCTGAGAATCCTGTTTCTAAGTTCAATTCACTCTGCAAGCCCTTGAGAGACATTCTCAGTTCTGGGCCATGGAGGTGATGGTGTTTATGTCCGGGTTTTGTGCGCCCGGAGCAACTCTTCTTGCTATTTGAACAGTTTTCTGAATCACTCTGCAGTCGCTTCAGTAATGTGCTTGACATTTGCAAAGTGGATCATCAGGTCGGACTTGGACACCTCCACGCCCCAGGTCCCTTGCTGATTATTCCAATGCAGTGTGGCAGCATGAGCAGCGAAAAATTCCTGGCTAAGCCAAGGGTCGCAGGGACCAAGAAGGCCACACCTGCTGGCTCTTGGCACTTTCTGGAATTCTTGGTCACTGTAGAAACCCAAAGCACCTGAGACTCTGTGTATTTACTAACTTCCTAGCCGGGAGGCAGCAAACAGTAGATTATCTTTGGACCTGTGTTCACACAGCTTTGTTTATGCTAATTTTTCCTCCTGCATGCATCTTCCTTGTAGAGTAAAGGATTCCCCCAAGACACCCACCAAGTTCTGTTTCTTCTGTCCTACCATGTAGCAGCTAAGTGGACTCCCGGACTTCTGGGTCCACTTAAAATAGCTAGAAATATTTAAAAATACATTTTTTTAGTTTTGTGTTTTTGAGACAGGGTCTTGCTGTGCAATTCAGGCTGGCCTTGAACTCCTTTTGTAGCCCAGGCTGGTCTCAAACTCACACGATCCTCCTGCCTCAGCCTCCCGAGTGCTGAGAGTACAGGAGTGCTCCACCACGCCTGGCTACTTAAAAATAAAATGTGCTGTGGAAAACTTCTCTCTAGGAGCCCCATCATACACACTCATGACTCAAGGGTGCAGGACTGTTTTCTGGCATCCAGATTTCCATACATAAAAGAATCCAGTAATGAATGAGTCCTCACTTCTGCCACAGGTCCCTGCTTCAACAGTTTCTCATTTCATCTGAAATGCTGGAGGTGACAAAGGTCAGAGAAGGAGAAGCCCTCTAGTCTGTCTTTGTTTATCTTAAAGGTCAGTGGTTTGTAAACACTCTTCCATGCTGCTCCAGTCTTAATATGATCTCCTTTTTTGGAACAGGAAATAAACACTGACCCTCAACCTTCTGAAAGGCTTCTGTTGTGCAAAGCCTTGTGACTCCAATCACTCAGATACTTTCCATGTGAGGCCGGGCCACATGAGCCTCCTTAGAACAAGGAAAGAAGAACTTCCTAGGGTGGAAAAGGCAGAGGACTCACTGATAGAGAAGTAAGATGTTTCATCTCTAGCCAAGAAGTAGCTTCGGCCCTGGGAGAACCGACCAGCGTCGAGATGAGCACAGTGTCCCAGGATTTGCTGAGTAGTCCACTGTCCCTCAGGGAACGCGCTACGGAATCTCTTTTCGCATTTCTCCTGTTATGTCTACACACCTGACTTCTCAGTGCTTTCACAAAATCTTGTGTTTTTTCTTAATTGTTCATTTGTTTTTGTTTTCCCCTAGTCCTGGGAATTGAATCCAGAACCTTTGCACCAAGCCACACGTCCGGCCCCTCCCCGCTTTCAGACAGGTCCTTGCTAAGTCACTAAATGGCCCAGGGTGGGGTCAAACCTAAGAACATCCTGTCTCAGCCCTCGGAGTGCTGGGATGATAGCATGGGCCAATGTTTCTAATTCCTAATCAGAACTGGTTTTTGATTTTGCAGTGGGGATTGAACCCAGGGTCTTGGTCACGCTGGGCAAAGACTCTAGCACTAAACTACACCCTCAGCCCCTTAACTCTTGGAACACCGACACCCTCTTCCATTCCCTTTGCATTGAGTATTTACGAGCTCTGTGGACAACCAGGAACAAATTCGAACCATGGAAGACCTCCCTTTCCCCGCCCATTCCCAACACCTCTTAGGAGGCTCTTACCGGCTCCTCTGCGCCCAGACTTCTTCTCCACCACTCTGCTGTCCTTCCTGGGGTCCGCAGGCAGGGTCGCTTTCTCAGGCTCTCCAGCGCTGGCGTCGGGCAGGTAGGCCAGGGTGAGGCTCTGCAGCAGCGGCTTCCTGGGCAGGGGTGGCTTGGAGCTGGGCTGCTCGGGGGACCGCGACTTTCCCTTTCCCTGGCCGTTGGGGGACCTGGCGCCTCGGAGTGCAGAGGCTGTCCCAATCTGACCCTGCTCATCTTTGGGGAGCAGGGCCAGCCCTCCTCTTTCTAACCTGACTTCAGCGCTGTATCTCTTGACGCCCTTGGCTTCCTGGGAGGGGCCCTCTCTGTACTTGAGGGACAGGGAGGTGGACCGCAGCTTGACAGGGAAGGGGCTTCTGTCCTCACATGGGGGTGGCTCCGCGGCAGCCGGGCAGGGATCTCCCGTGCCTGGCGTGGTGGCTGCAGTGTCCCCTGAGTCCTGAGACTCTGGCTCTGCTGGTTTCTGAGGGTCCGATTTCTGGGTCTGGCGCTCGGGGAGCACGTGGAGGTCATCGAGGGCCGCCTCGCTCCTCCAGGCCAGGCCACTGCGCGCCAGGGGCAATCGGATTGCAGAGACAGTGGGGACAGCAGGGACAGTGGGGCCTGGAAGACGAGGGCCTCCTGGGCGTGGCCGTGCCCTGCATGACGACACTGAGAACTTCTTCACGCCCCGTAGCTCCCCACCACCAGCACCCCTCTCACTTTTCCGCCCTGGAGTCCCCCTCTCGGGACCGCCCTTAGGGGACTCTGTGTGCTCAGCCTTGGGGTGCTCGGGGGCCACAGCTTCGTGGCCCAGGGCACAGGGGCTGGGCTCCCGTACGGGTGACTCTGTGATGGGTGCTGGGGATACGCTGAGGTCCTCAGCCACCATCATAGCCCTGTGCTTCAGGCAGCTCTTGGGCCCAGGAGGGCTCGGGGCGGGAGCCACTGCAGGTTCTGTCTCTGCTCCCTTGGGGCTGGGCACTGCCAATGTGGGTTCCACCTCCTGCTGGACACTCTGGTCTGGGCCATCCAGATCACAGGGTGTCTCCAAGATTGTGGCAGTGACAATCTCAGGAGGTACTGTGTCATGAGGTGCTGTGTCCCCCGTGGGGACAGTGGTGGACAACGCACTTTCCACGTCTCCAGAAGCACAGACCATCTCCTCAGCTCTGTCCCCAGCTGGGGGACATGGGCTCGCAGTGGACGGCTCCTCCTCCTGGATTTCAATGTCGGGAATGGGGTGCAGAGAGCCTTCTGGTAGAGATGGGGGCTCCACGCAGGGGGCTAGGACTGCCACCGGCTCAGTGACCTCTGGGGTGGCCGGACAGCTTGAGGGGACATCCCAGAGGGAGCTCCCCTCCTCCACACTGGCACTGAGTGCTGGGCTGTGCTGCAGGCGGGCACGTCTGGCACGGGGCCCCCCAGGTGGCAGCAAGGTGGCAGGTCCCCCGGGCTCAGGGTCTCTGTCCAGCATCAAATCCTGTTGCCCGGCGCTGGGATTCTCCTCTGTGCTGACTTCAAGCCCTGGCTTCTCACCGGATTCCTCCTCCTCGGGGGTGCCGGTCAGGTCGCTCAGGGATTCTGACTGCGCCCGCTGGGAGAAATGAAGGTAAGAGATCAGCGCTGCAGTAAACATTAGGAAGCCAAAGACTTCCTCAAGGCTTTCGGCTGAAAGCAGCGTGTCCCTAAGGTGGCGCTGACATTCACACACAGGTGTGCTTTCTTGAGCTCTCCCTTGGCGGCCTATGTGGATCCATACATTCCTGAGGGCCCTCAAGACAAAGGTCACTGACAGCTCATGTGAGCCAGCCACGAAGTCAGTGGCTGTTGCTCGTCAGAGTGAGGCTAATGGCAGCTGAGTATCTGCCAGCTCTGCGCGCTACACTTATTCCATTGAATCTTTCTTTCGTCTTAGTCAGGAAGCGACCTTGCTTCCCTTTTTGCACTCGGATAAGTAGGAGCTCAGAGGAGTCAAAAGATGGGTAAAGAGAAGGTAAGTGATGGCCAGCAGGTGGCCCAGGTGACCAGCTGGGCTCTTCCTGTCACTCTAGGCTGCCTCTGAGTCAGTGTCCCACCTGAGTAGGCTGGTTCTCCTAAAGGACCATTCACACCATTGCTAACGTCCTCAACAGCCCGCCACAGCTTACAGAACACAACCCAAACTTTTCAGCTCAATTTAAAGTCTTACGTTCTGCAGTCTTGTGGTGTTTCTTCCACTGTACTCAAATCAAACCAAGACCCCAGCGGGTGGGACGGGGGTAGAGAAGAGGCGTCAATCTCTGTCTAAGACCCGCCTCTTGCATTTGGCAGTTCCGCAGGCTGGGACCTGTACCCTGGAGACCTGTAGCCAGGCGCCCCATGGCACTGCTCCTCTTTAAACAGAGTCAGGGCACTCCCTGTTTCTGGCACTGCCCGGGTTGGACTGAGGGCCAACTGGTCTGGTGAGACAAGGTGCAGCCGTCTGTGGACATTCGGCTTGTACCTGCGCCTGGAACCGCACACATAGCACGGTTCTGGGCAGCAGTGCAAGGTGCGGAGGTCACAAGCAGAAGTTGTCTTTCTCAACCTCTGCTGGGGTAGGAGCAGCAAACTACACTCCGACGTACGTTTTAACTTCGCGATAAATATCACAATATCGTTCGCCAAGTTTTTACTGTGCAAGATGGGGTTTTTAAGACAAGAAGAGCCCTTTTTATTATTTGTCTCTGGAGCTCCAAAAGATTCAGAGTCTTATGCTGTGGAGGAGTTCACCTCCTGGCGGCACAGCTGGAGAGCCCCCGGCCAGGCAAGGGCAGCAGCAGGACGTCCAAGCCTGGAGGAAGGGGTGAGGGTGTGGGTGAGGGAAAGAGGGCTCTCGGCTGCTACAGGGGATCAAAGAGCAGGTCAGCGTAGAACCTCACTGTCCAGTGAAGCCCAAAGGGACAACGAGCTTCCACAGATGTGCCCAGGGGCACGAGGGAAGCAGAGGCGACCGCGGGCAGCTGCAGTAGGAAGGCAGCAACTGAAATCTACTTGAGCCCCAAGAGGTGCCTCATGGCTGGGAAGAAGGACCTCAGGATGTAATGGCAAAGGAGGCTGGGAATGCCGGTGGACAGAGGCCTACAGCGTGGGACCCCGTGGCGAATGGAGGGACAGCAGTGATCCCTGGGGAGAGCTGGACACCGCTGGGGATTTAAGATAGCTGAGGCTGCTTGGTACTGAGCAGAGCGGGGGAGAAGGAAGGGGACAGACATGGAAACAAGAGAGTTTAAATCGAGTTATGGGGGGCTGGGGATTTAGCTCAGCGGCAAAGCGCCTGCCTGGCAAGCGCAAGGTCGTGAGTTTGGTTCCCGGTACCAGAGAAAAACCAAAAAAATAAAAATAAAAAAAAATAAAGCGAGTTATGACCATGCAGATTGGCTTCCCAAAAATGACTACGTCAGGTTTTCCGGAATTCCACAAAACAGGATTCAACAGTGAAGTCAAATCCAAAAGTCAAGAAAGAAGTTTGCAGCCCTGCATGGGGACAGAGAGAGGGGCTGCTGTGTTCCATTCAGAGCTCCACCCTCCGTCCCCAGTGCAGTCGGCTGTGGCTGGTTACCCCCTACTACCAAAGCAGAGGGATCCCTCGGGGACCAAGCACGGCTGTCCCCAGCCCTGTGGCACCTCTCTGCAGGAGCACGGCCAGGTCTGGGGTCCTTGGCCCTTGTCAAGTCCCCACAGCACACAGCTGTGACTGTCACAGGGCTGGACACATGAGCATGTGCACAGGTCCTCGCCTGCACCTACCTCGGGCTCTGCTGGCTGAGTTTGCAAAGCACCTCCCCCGAGCACAGGGAAGCTTGCTCTCTCCAGAAGCCCAGCTTCCTGCCCCCAGCTGGAGCACCTGACTTGTCCTGGACACTTCACCAACACCCGACAGTCGTGTCTCAGGGGAGGAGAGGGCAGGGGACATCAGTCTGAGAGTGTCTCTTGGCACTGTCATTCCGTGGCAGCTGGTCCCTCATCCCGCCGCCTGTCTCCCCCAGAAATGAGGCATCCGAGGCCCCATCAGGCAGGAGAAAAGACAACCTACGTGGACCACTAAGCTACTAACACCACAAGGCCAAAGTACCCCATGAACCGGGTGATCAGGTTCCAGAACCACAAGGTGCCGTCGCTCCCAGCCGCACGCCCAAAGGAGTCTGGTCCTCACGCTACTAAGCAGGTTCTTGTCCGAGACAGGAGTCATTAGTTTAGTGTTTCAGCTTCTTCTCCCCGTCATTCACTCCCTCGCTGGCTCACTCATTCATCCGCTCAACAAACATTCACCGCATGCCAGCTCTGTGACTAGCACTGCTCTGCAGGCTAAAGTAGAGCCGGGGTCAAGGGCTCAAAGTGAGCGCGTGCATGAGGAAGGTCACCCCTGCGTGTGTCCAGTCCTCTGAAGGAAGTAAACGGTCAGTGTGCGCCTCACTAGGGACAGGAGCTCTGTGCTGAGCACCCCAAGGCTGAAAAGAAGGCAGCCCAGGGAGAGCATGTGAGAGAAAGGAAGGTGGAAACAAGTGGAGTGGGGGGCCCCAAGCCTGCCCACCCACCATCCCCACCCCATGCGGAGGAAGAGGACCCATTACCGAAGACAGACGCCTCATTTTACTCGACCGCTGGTTACGCGGCTTAACCAGGAGCTTGTGCTTGGCTGCAGAGTTGTCCAAGCAGGAGGAGGACTCCGGGGGCTGGCTGAAGTCAGCCACGGGTGCCAGGCTGCTGTCGGAGGTCCTGGAGGAGACGGTGGTGTTGTTCGTGTGGTCTGGAGACTGCGGCCGGGAGGAGGACACTAAGCAGACCTTCACAGGACAAGGAGCAAACACACCAAGCATTAACTTCACGGCTCCATACACAAGCAGCCCTTCCTGGTGTCCTGCACGGCCTCCGCTGGGCTTTACCTGGGAAGGGACAGGTCCAGTCTGGATCTTGACAGGGAACCTTCTAGGATATGACCAAAGAGGTTATATACATGTCTGAAGTGCCACAGTGAAACACAGCATTTTGTAAAATTACTATGCACTCATAAAAATAAAAAGGAAAATTTTTATAGGTAAGCTAGGTGACCAGGAGTTCTAAGTAGTGGTCCAAACCCTGGAAACCTGAGTGTCACGTCTGAGACACAGCAGAGAACATGTGATGGGGCTCCCCTAGCGGGAGAACTCTGTCCCCCCCTCACAGCCGTTTTCTCCAGTGCAAGAGACCAGCCCGATGTGCCAGGGCCGAGGCGCCTGCCCTGCCTCTGGAAGCCGAGAGGTTGGTGCAGAGATGGGATTTCAGGGACTGGGTACAGGAGATGCCAGACCTCACCCGCGTTCGTTCCATCTGGGTGGAGCTCTGTTTGTTCACTCTAAAGTCTCTGCCTCTTCCTGGAGAAATCTGGCTTGAAGTTGCCATCTGGCAAGTTATGGATATGCTACTGTTTATACCCCAGCAGGAGGAACTGACAGCAAAGAGCGAGCGTGTTCTCCGGGGTGGAGGGGGAGCTACATGCAAAGACGCCTGCCCACCAAACTTGGCGAGCTCCTCCACGGAGCAGGGACTAAGAGGGCTCTCCCACCAAGGTGTGTGAGTGTGTGTGTGAGTGTGTGTGTGTGAGTGTGTGTGCATGCGCAAAGCACTGGGCACACTCAGTCCAGAGGAGGGGTGAGGTGCACAGGGAGAACCCGGAGATGCTGGGCTTTCAGGACAACTTCGTAATCTTCAGATGAACCAACCCACCCACCCAGCCACCTACCTGCTTGAGCATGGTGCTCAGTATCAGAGTCACATTTTCATTCTGACTAAAGAACATAACTTTGTTCACCACACAATGGCTTAGTAAGTCCTCCTGAAAACAGTCTCTTCAGAAAAGCAGCAGCAAACCAGGCACCAGGGCCACCCTCTGACAGTGACCTCCAGAACCCCTCCAGAACCTTTCTTGGCCTCCTTTCTACGACCCTGCCTCCCTGAAGACAGCAGGTGGTGAACTAGGGCAGCAACTTAACTAAACTGGATGACGTTTTTTTTTTTTTAAAGGAAACAAGCTCCAACTCAGAAACCACCCCTGCAAAGGAACAACCTAAGAACTTACTTTCCCTGTTCGCATAAAGGTCCCTTCCACTGACTGATGGGAATGGAAGGCCCATCTTCTGTAAGCTGCCCAAATGGGAAAGAACGGGTTGGAAGTGGACATACTGTTTTAGCTCTCTCTTAGCCAGCCAGATACTTACGGGAATAACAGAAGAAAATTACTTTAAAAAGAAACCAAAGGCCTCGTGGCCACGACCGCACCTGCGCCTGCAGCTTTGTCCTCAACAGCGTAGCTGGTGACTCAGGCAGTTGCCTTAGATCGGGCAGGTGACACCTTTGCTGGGTAATCCTCCTCGGGGGTCACAAGCAGGATGTGTATTTGAGAATCACACAAATCTTTGATTTTTACCCTTGTCTAGAGGAACCATGTGTGGAGACTTAGTATAAAATGTCTTTCTGTCTCACGGCCTGAGACTCATGAGAACAGACCAGATGAGGTGCTTTGCCAATGCAGAGTCCGCAGGTGAGAGCACAAAGGGCCTGGGTACCCATCTGTAAGCCTCACACCCCTGCCCCTCCTCCACCTAGGTCCCCTGCGTCTCTACTACCTGGGCAGACCAGCCTGGGCTCAGGCCCACTTTAGCCCCTCCCCATGCCAAGGAGCCTAACTTCCTTGACCTCTGTCCCCTGCAAGCCCTGTGCCAAAGTCACAGCTGGATCTCCACCCCAGGGAACTCAACTTCTCCAGCCTCAGAACTCTCACTTCTCACTTCTGGCCCTGTGGTCATTCTGAGAGCTCTAGGGATCAGGAAAGGCCAATGTCACAACTGAGAAGAATCAGGAGTTTTGCTTTTGATCAGTGATGTGATCACACAAAGTGGGGTGGGTTGGGGCCTTTCCGGCTTGCAGTTCCACAGGAGGGCAGCCAGCACCTGGTTTGCAATTGCACATCTGCACCAGCTGCTCCCAGTCACCCAGTCTTTCCTGAAGTCTACACTGGGCCATTCTGGAAGCAGGGAATTTAAAACTCTTATGTGTGGTCTTCTGTTGTAGAGAATGTGGCTCAAAGGCCCTTGGAGAAGTGGCTTGGGGTTCAGGAGTTTTAAGGGAGCCCTTGGGTAGAGCCACTTTCTAACATTTGTCCTCAAAAAGGAGGCTGGCATCAGCCAACCTGGTCTTAATGCTCCCCCAAACTGTCTGAGGACACAGACTCCAAGAGGTGACAAACCTGCTAAGACCCTCATAGCTGGAAACTCAGAATGAGACCAGTTAGGCCAAAATCTCAACCACGATCACCAAGCACAGTTCCATCAGAGAATTCACATGGTAATGAATTTTCAAAATATTTCCTGAAAAACTTACTCTGTCAGGAAATATTACCTTGGCTATGTCATCAAATATGTGCTGCTAAAGACATTTTTTCCCATAATGATCTTAAGTTTCTTTGTCAAGCATGTGGGCCCCGGGGAAGGTGTCGCATAAGATAAAATCACACAGCCCACAATCTTATCCTCTTGGGACTCCAGGAGCCACTGTATTAAATATTAAATACCATGTGTTATATAAGCACATTTTTAAAAGATGCATTGTCTTTTCTTCTCCATTGGCCAACTTGTGCAGAAAAGAACTTTCTGGACACATAACACAAAGATCAGCTCTTCAGAACCATGACAGCAAAGATTATACATATACATATAATGTGTGTGTATATATACACACACACACACACTATATATGTATATATATAATGCTTTTATATTTTGGGGGGGTGTTTTGTCTTTTTGAGACATAATCTTGCTATGCAGTTCAGGTTGGCCTTGAACTCACTTACGTAGCCCAGGCTGGCATCCAACTTGCAACAATCCTCCTGCCTCAGCCTCCCAAGTGCTGGGATTAGAGGTGTGCGCCACCACACCCAGCGCAGTATTTTTAGATTTTAAAGGCTCAAATTTTGGTTTTCTATGAAGCTTGTGGATTGTGAATATTACTCAGTAATGACTCAGACTTCAGAACTTAATAAAAATCACAGAGTGGGGAGCTGCCGTGAAGGATGGGGTCAGCCCTAGCCCAGCATGGGGGCTCCCCTCGGCCACTGGTGGAGTTTGGACATCATGGCACCGCGGGGCTTTGGAGAGGGGTTTACTCTTTAATGATGGGGTTAGAAACTATCTGCTCCTCTTTACTGCCTGTTCTGGCTGCAGGCAGAGAACTACAGGCAGAGAAACAGCCAGGCTATGGGCATCTGGGGCCATGGGCATCAGGGGCCACGGGCATCCGGGCTGATGGGCTGGGAAGAGGGAGAGTCAGTCGCTGCTCAGCTGGGAGGCAGCTCACAACAGACCTCTCCCCACCATGGGGCCCAGAACACACCCAGTCAGCGTGCTCCTGAGAGAGGGGCAATGAAACCATGCTGAGGTGTTTTAGTGTATTAAGGGGCGCAGGGTTGGTCCGATGGGATCTGGACTCAGGCCACATCACCATCTTGGGAGTCCACAGAGACTTTCAAAAGTTAGGAGTGATGGGGACTTCAAGGCGCCCAAGTTGCCGAATCTCATTCCCAGTGACAGAATCTTCCACCCCGCAACATCACTGTGAGCCGCCCCTCCGCCAGGCCAGAGTGGAAGGCATTTCTGGACGCGCAGGGCAGGTGTGTGGCTATAAATCGCGGACTCCGGCCTTTATTTGCTTTCCAAGTGTCAGGAGAGCTTAAGTAATTCCTATTGGACCCACGCTACAGCAGGGCCCCTCTACACGGGGAGGAGGACCATCTGTTTCGTCGTTTATGTGCAAGTACACTGCATGGGTGCTGAGTGTTCTGACTGCAATAAAATAACTTTTTAAAAAGAATGGCAGCTTCAAGAACGACGGCCTTTATGCAGGAGGAAGAGCTGGCTCCTCAGGTTCCCCTCCTGATTCTATGGGAGGGAGGTATTTGGGGTCAGGTCCTCCACCCTGCTGCGGTCACAAACCCCTCTCCTGCTGCCCTGTCCACCAGAAACACGCCTCACCCTCCACCCAGACCAACAGGTTCTCCCGGCCAGCGACTTAGCCATGGGCTTAGACTGAGTGGTGTATGTTTACTGTCCCTTCCTTCTCCAGCCAAGACTATCGTGAGGACAGAACAGACACAAAGGCATCTCTCTCTTTAAATGGGGTTCCAGGTCCGGTCATCTGCTTTGGGTCAGGCCTACCTTCACCACAAAAATGTCACCCAGACCACATCTCTAAGGCAGACCTGAATTTCTGCTCCAAGAATGAAAACAAACATTGCTCAGGGGCCAGCTGGAGGCTCTGGCGACCTGGGCCACTGCAACCTGCAAACCTTTCTCACCCGGGGACATTTCAGGGGATGGGGAGCGCACAGGGACCCCCAAGCTCCAGCTGCCAGCAGTGGCAGATAAGGAGGGGACGCTGGGTGGCACAGGCTGCACTTGCCTTTATGGTGGTGCCTGAGCCCACGTCGTGCAGCAGGGACATCTCGGGGGGGCTCCGGGGTAGCCCGTCGTCCTCGGAGCTCATGCCGGTGTCCTCCGCCCGCTTGATGGGCAGCCCCCCTGGAGGCGGTGGCCCCATCTTCACGTGGCATTGTATTTTTAACTAGATTGGCACAAAGAACATCTGCTCTGAGTGTTTCCACCAATGACATCTGTCAACCAACCTCCCTGCTCCCTTCTCATTCAGGAAATGTCTCCAACACCCTCGAGTGGCGTGGAGGGAAGAAACGGAAGGATGGCCACCAGCAGCTCTCTTGGTGTCACCTCTCTGTGTCCATCCAAGCTGCCACTCAGCATGAGTAAAGGTCCAGGGTAGCTACCATGGCGTGTCGTGGGAGAGCTGTGGTGTGCCTTTGAATATCAACTTCAAATATATCAAATAGACCAAGCAGAAATCTCTTATAAACTGCTGGACTGGTAGGTGACATACACACTGTGACACCGTCAAGGGAACACTTACCTGCAGAGCTTTAATCCGGTCACACACGTTTTCTTGGGAAAACACCCGCACAGGCCGAGCAGGGTCCTGTCCCGCCTCGGGAATGAAAATGCTGTCGTGTGACAGGGCCCGGCTGCCCAGGGTGCCCCTGGACTCCCTAGGATGAAAGAGCTATTGTGAGACTCTGCCCACCTCCATCTGCCACTGAGCCAGGGTCCTCAGGGTGCAAACAGAGGAGTGTGGGGTAATGGCACGTCACACAGCAAGCTTCTGACCCTTCTGACTCAGCTTATCCCCTCAGTGACAAATGCCACGGGCTACTGTTAGGAGCACTGTAGAGATGGGAATTTTCCCAAGAGATAGAAGGTTGTGTGAATTCCTTTTTTAGTGGAAAAGCCAAGCTCTGAAGAGGTGTGAGGTCCAAGACAAGAGACAAAGGGCTGGACTGGCTGGGTTCTGCGGACACCTGCCCTGGGTGTCCTAGGAGAGAAGGTCAAAGCGTGTGGGTGAACACGCAGCCCCTGGGTGAGCTGGGGCTGCATCTGCACTGCGTCCTCCTAAGGTGGTCCACACCATCCACGGATGCAGTGGCTGCAAGGCCATATCCTCTTGCGGTGACCCGGCAGAGTCTGTGATCAGAGTGACCCAGCTTCCGCGCCTGTGCTCTGGAGCACAGATGGCCAGTGCTTTGGTCATCACCATCCCTGCCTCTTCCCCAGCGCAAGGGTCTGATTTGGAACTAACCCACAGGACATTCATACAATGCCCTCAGAGGATGTGGGAATTCGCTGTCAGATTTTCCTAGCGGCCTGAACAATTGGTGGAAGGAGATGACTGAGACCTGCGGTAAAGGAAGGAAAGCCCCCTCTTCGTGCCCTGGCATCTTGTGCCCACCAATCCCATCCCATCCTCCCCAGGCATCCTGACCCCCTGGGGCATCAGGGACTCTGAGGAGTGGCCCTGCCCCACTGCAGAGGAAAGGTGGTGTTTGCTTTTCATGACACTTTCTAGCCTGCAAGCGAGGCTGTAGCGAGGTCCCTGAGGCTGTCCTCACGCTTCTAGGAAGGAATCAGCCCAGTGTGAAACCCAGCTCTTCCGGCCAACGGCAGCTCTTCACACAAGGTCCCCACACACCTGCATGTCCCCTACAGCAGAGAGCTCATGGCCACACCCCAGGGCAGCCAGGATCACAGCTTAGACACCTCCAGAGTCGGGACAGCAGGAGGAGGCCCCCAAAGAGACACAGTGGCAAAAACACACGCTGTGTGCATCAGGCCGCTCACTTCAGCAGTACTGAAGTGGGAAATGACCCACGGGTCCCTCAACATGCGCCTGCTGAAATAAAACAGAGACATCACGCAACGGAGGACTCAGCGGCTAACCACGCAGGCAAGGAATATCTCTGCGTGGGTGCAGATTATACCATTCCCATAGGTTTAAGCGTTTGCTTACACTTTAAAACATAGAATTAGAAGGGTAAGTGATGAATAAGAACAGCTTCCTTTCGGAGAGAGGGAAAGAACTAGATGGGAAACAGGGTATAAAGGTCCTTGCATTTATAATTTTGTCTTGGGAGCTACGTCAACAGTTTATGTACACGAAAGACAAGAGCAAGCAAAAAGGGAAATAAAACAATCTTTAAAACTGGAAAACAAAAACAGAAAAGCCTAATGTTCCACCAGGTTGTTAACATAACTACACAGAGAAGGGAATTACTTCCAGTGACTTTAACTCTACACCCAAAAGACTTTTCATTTCACCTCCAGGAGAAGATAAATTCTAAGAACAACCAAAACAAACATCAAATTTCACCCTACAGTTTCTTTAACAGTATTCCTGATTTAAAAATTAATGCACAACAATGTTTATAGTATGGGATCTCTGTGTGGGAAAGGGGGAAATAAAATTATTATACCATAGGATGACCAAAATAGGCAATCAAATTAATATCTTAAAATCTAAGGTTTCCAGTATAAGCGAAAAGAGAATAGACTCAAGGAAGTAAAAATATTGCCTTATTAAACTTGACTTAGAAATCCCAGTGAATTAATGACTTATTCTCTTAAAAATAAAAACATATTTCCAAGCTACATCCACAGAAAAGTCTAGACGCGGTGACAGCAATTTAGCAATTCTAACTCCTGGCTGGCAGATGGGTCAGTGAATCCTTTTCATGTAAGGAACAAACCAAAGCCCATGCAAAGAGCGGGAGGCGCATCCTGCTTCCAGGTCTGAGCCAGGAAAAGTGCAACACGGACTGGGATTTCTCATCGTGCCAGAAAGCAAGGGAGCTTTCAAAGAAGAATTTGCTTATGCCAAAAGAATCCCCAGAGGAACTGGAAGTGACCCTTGATAGCCCAAGGAGAGGAGGGACAACTTGAGCATAAAATTGAATAAGAGCCAGGCATGCTGACTCACACCTCTCAACACCTAGGGAGGCTGAGGTATGAAGATCACAGGTTTGAGTCCTGCCTGGGAAATTTAGTAAAACCTTGTCTCAAAACCTCCAGTACTGGGGGGAAAGTGGTTACAGAGGAAAGCAAGTAAAATATATAAAAATCAATGCGTTCACAGTGATATTCAAGAGAAAGGAAAACCCCAAAGTCACTGGTCACCAATGGCAGTTGCTCGGGTACCAGGTCTGTTCTCTGAGGACAAATCAATAAAAGGAGAGGCAAGTCCTCCTGCCTGTCCTGCACAGACTGTATTTCTGGGCAGCCAGGGAGCCGCGGAAGGAAAGTTCTTCACAGAAACATGAATTGAGTGATGGAAATAGAAAAATCACTCTTTGCAATGCAAGAAGTGGGTAATGGGGCTGGGGATTTAGCTCAGCGGCACAGCTCCTGCCTGGCAAGTGCAAGGTCGTGAGTTCGATTCCCAGTACCGGAAAAAAAAAAAAAAACAAACAAACAAAAAAAAAGTGGGTAATGAGCATGCATTGAGAGAGTTATGTGAAGAAGATTGGGCGGGGGGTGGTCACACTGAGCCCCAGCACCCCAGGGCTGGTCTCAGCATCACCACAAGTGAGACAGCCAGCACGTATGCGCCTTGCAACATCGCTGTGACAGGGCAGACGCGGCATCGTCTCGCACCTGAATCTAGTCAGACCTCTGGATGTCGGAGTTCACACGGAGCTGAGAGAACACCAGCACAACTGCAACTGTTTCAACAGACAGAAAGCCCAGAACGTGGGACATTCTGCAGGGCCAAGGGCCTGATCCTCTGTGAGATCAACGACAGGAAGCAGAAGGAGGTGGGTGGGAGAAATTGTTAGCCATGAAATTTAAGCTGGGGCTGGGGCTGGGGCTGGGGTTGAGTGTAGAGCACTTGCCTGCCGTGGGTTTGATCCCTGGTATGGGGAAAAAAATAACAAAAACGAAGGAAGCGGTACTGAGGGATTATCCTGGGTCTTTGCCTAGATCAGCTCTTAAACGGGGTGTGGTGGCACCGCCTGTCCTGCCAGCACACTGGAGACTGCGGCAGAAGGACTGCTGTGACTTGGAGGCCAGCCCGAGCTACATAGTGAGACCCTGTCCCAACAAACCATGTAAGAAAGCGAGGAGGAGGAGGAGGAGGAGGAGGAGGTGAGAGAAGGTGTCGCCACACAGGCACAGGGCCCGCTGATCTGCCAGCATTAACCCATCTTCCCACATGGACATGTTCTGCCCCCAGCCATGGAGGAGAAGCTGCTTCCAGAACTTTCCTAGACGCTCAAGAACAGTGTCGGGAGTTGGTCTCCTCCTCAGCGCTGCTCTCAAAAATGTCACTTTTACTTTCTGGGCCTCATCATCCCTGACGCCCGAGCTTCCTTTCCCGGGACCATCAGTCCTGGGAAACCGTTTCCGGTCACTCAAGACCAGCTGCCTGCTCGATGCCGGGAACAGGCAGATCGGAAGGGCCTGCCCCACTTTGCCCGGGCTCCTGGGACGAGCAGGAGAGGCTGAGCGGGTGGGCCGTCTCTCCCCTGGCTGTGCACCTGTCGGGGGCCGGAGGGGCCGCTCCAGGCCTGTCTCCAGCAACAAGACTGTGCGTCCCGAGGAGGTGGGGCCGCGGGGAAGGGGTCCCTGCACACCAGGACACGGAACGAGCAGTCCTGCAGTCAAGACTGTGCCTGGCTTCCGCAGGTTTGAGCTTGCTGGAGAAGAAATGTGTGCGGCGCGTTCCCTCCCCGGCTCACGAGGAGCAAGGAGAGCCCTCCTGCCCCCTGCTGGCAACAGGAAAAAACCGAAAGAAGGAATACTGAACCATCCCTGTCCAGTCATCTGCTGCCACCAAGTGGTCAGTGTAAAAACAGGCGGGGAGGAAGAAGAGAAGGACCAGGAGGGAACGACACCCTGGCCAGTGCTGGAGCTGGAACCAGAACCACCTGGGCTGCGCTGTTCCCCAACCCCAAGGGCGCCCACGCTCTCGCAAGAGTTTTATCCTCAAATTCAAGGGCCAGTGTTGAAAAGAAAGCACAAAAGCTGGCAAAGCGTTAGACCCAATTCTCTTCTCTTTGGTCACAGGAATGACTGTGACCACACTACCAGCCTGGGAACTGTATTTTGATGATATACAGGTTGCAAACATAAGGATCCCTGCATTGGACCTCCTCCAATTTTCATTCCCATTGGGTCTGTGCTTCCAAATGGTCTGTGGGTAATTTTGATAAGACTGAATCACAGGAAGGCTTTTTCTCTCTGTTCTGCAAAACTGTTCTTATTAGGGGCTGGGGATTTAGCTCAGTGGCACAGCGCCCGCCTGGCAAGCGCGACGTCGTGAGTTCGATTCCCGGTACCGGAAAACAACAAGAACAACAACAAAAAACAAAAAACCAAAAAAACTGCTCTTATTAGATTACCCGGTGCTCAGTTTAGAGAAATGTGTTTTTCTAGTATAGTAATCCACACCCTCAAGATAGTTTCAAGTTAAATAAACCGAGGCCTACAACCCTGCCTCTCTCAGCTGTACGATGGTGGACAGGCTCTGCAGGTTCTCCAAGGCTTACTTTACTTATTTATACGCGGACACATAGTACCTCCTGCCACAGTTACAGTGGACTTCATTTTTCTGTACGTGGGGTCTTTACACTGCACTATATCCCTCGTCTTTAAAAAGAAATTATTTTGAGTCAGGATCTCATTCACTAGCTATGTTGCCTAGGTTGGGCTTGAACTTGTGATCCTCCTGCCTCAGCCTCTCAGAGTGCTTAGATGACAGGCATACACTGCTGTACCCAGCTTGGACTTTTAATATGTACGGCACACGGCACACGGCAACTACCTGGCGAGGTTCCCCGGCTCCAACTTTCTCCATCCTTGTGTGTGAAAGGTCAGGAAACCTCCCTTGTATGGAAGGGCCGTAATGGGATTAGTAGGAGGGAAGGAGGCCTTCCAGGGTGCAGTTACCTGGACATGGAGTTGTGCTGGGCTCAGGCTCCCCGGGGCCCGCTCGTCCCTGCCCCACCCCTCCAGGCGGAAGCGCACCAGCTGGATGGATGCAAAAGCAACTTACTCAAGCTCATCCTCGGAGTCGTAGCCCACCGGCCCGGACTCGATGGGAATGACCTCGCTCTTGGCGGGATTTTGTTTCCAGGCGCTGTTTCCTGTGGACGAAGGTGATTCCTTCCTCTTCTTCTTCCCAAATAACTTCTTAAAAGTTTTGAATTTGGATTTTTTCTTTCCTACGTAGATTTAAAATACAAAGCCATCAGCAGGAGCTGCGTTTGTGTGCAGAGTGAGATGCGCCGGGCCCGGGGCGGGAAGCGGCAGGCCAGGCTTCAGTCCTCTTGCTGACCCCCTGATCGCTCAGAAGTGCCCGGTGCGCTAGACCTGTGTGCTCAGAAACGAATCCCGGGAGAAGGCCGCTGTGGGACCCCGGCCCAGACGCACAGGAGGTCAAGCCGTCATGTCTGGAATGCACACAGGCATCAGCGAAAGTCCCGGTGAGGGAAAGGCTGTGTGATAACCCGCTACACATTTCCTTTTTTAGAAGAATTAAGCATTACTTTAACTACACACACTGAGAGGGTACGGTGTGGTGATCTGGCACACGGTACAGAGTATACTGGTCAAATCTGGGTAGTTAACATTTCCAATCACCTTAAATTAAAAAAAAATTAATATACAATCCTTGCACATATTTACAAAGCACAATGCAATAATTCAACACGTGTATACAGTATAGCTCCATCACATCAGGGTAGCTAACACCTCCATCTCAGTATTGTTATTTTGTGTTGGGAGCCTTCAAGTTCTTCTAATTATTCACAGAATGTGCACTAGGTCATTGGGAGCTAAAGTCCACACACCGTGCTGTGGATCACTAGCACTTACTACTTCTCTCTGCAACTGGGTACCTGCTAGCTATTTAACCTCCCTCCCTGCCACCCTTCAGACTCTCTAGTAATCAGATCATACAGTCTGGCCAACATTTGCTATTTGCCTTTCTGCATCTGACTTCTGTCCCTTAGTGTACCTGCTCCAGTTCCACTCATTTTGCTGCAAATAATACCATACCCATCCCTTTTTGGTGACTGAATAATATTCCACCATACATATACTTTAAGTGATTCAAATTATTTTAAAAATAAATTTCAAATGCTTTATCTAGTGTGGACAAAGCACAAAGGGCAATGGGAGGAGGCCAGTCTCACAGGCAAGGCACGCCAAGCACCAGGACAAACAACTCCGGATGATACAAATGGCCAAGTAGTGGCCGTCCCGCGGAGGAAGCAGCTCATGCTTCCTGGATCGTCACAGTGTGCAACCCTTTGGAAGCGGGATTCCGTGACCATCGCTCTGATACGCCCTGCATGCTCATCCGCAGGTTCTATCACAGCCAAGACCTCACAGCCCTGAAAGAGCAGTGCAGCCCATTCCTCTCCTCCCAGGTGTGTGACGTCAGAGGTGACCGTGCACTGCTAATGCACCAACAAATCTGCTAGAGCAATTAGCTAAAGACGCTGTCTGAGTGAATATCCTCGGGCACGGAAGCCCTTTAAACATAAAACAGGACCTTTTTTTTCTGCGTGAGTTCTCCCTTGAAAGTTTAGGGGTCCTGTCTTTATGTGGGAATTACTTAGGACTACTTCAGCAGGCACCAAGGGAGCGTCTCCCCAAAGGGAACTAAGTTCTTTCTGACGCCCAGTGAGAATCTCTTTACAGTCACACAATGTTCATATCAGTAACGACTGGGTGTCCCCGAGAGTTTACGAGTTCAAAAGACTCCTGAGTGTCTGCGTTTGGCCAGGACGCCGCCTGGCTTTGGCCCAGGAACAGTCCCGCAAGGCTGAGCAAACCGCGCCCCTCCCTCTCCTGCGGTCGGACATGGGGCACCCGGTTCCTCCGTGCCGCCTCTTTCCTGCTTGATCAACTGCACCGGGGGTCTGCCAGCTGTACACACCCATAAGAAATCTGGCTTTTGGCCGGGCGTGGTGGCGCACGCCTGTAATCCCAGCACTTGGGAGGCTGAGGTAAGAGGATCATTTCGAGTTCGAGACCAGCCTAGGGTACAAAGTGAGCTCAAGGCCAGCCTGAACTGCATAGCAAGACCCTGTCTCAAAAAGATGAAAAAAAAAAAAAAAAAGAAATCTGGCTTTGTTAATTCTATGGGATATTTATATTACAGCCATTTCCGTTCTCAGCTTTACTCTTCTTTCTTGCACTTTTTTTTTTCAGGTTCACTTTGCTATTTTTTAAACAAACCTCTTGAACACTTAGCTTACTAACTGTCAGGCTTTTTCTGTATTTATACATTGACAGGCAATACATTTCCCTCTCAGTTTGTGTTAGCTGCATGCATATATTATCAACTGTAGTGTTTTCAACATTGTTTGGTTGAAAATATTTTCTAATTGGCATAATGATGCTTTCTTAGATCAGCAGGTTATTTAGAAAAGTTTGTCTTCATTTCCAACCACTTGTGGACTTTAATTATTTTTCTGTTAATGAATTCTAGCTTAATTGTAATGTGGTAAGATAATAGCTTCTTAATGATTTGATCCATTCAAATTTGGGAAGACTTGCTTTATGGTTTATCATATTGACAATTTTTTGGTGGGATCTTGCTATGCAGTCCAGACTGGCCTTGAACTATTTAGCCCAGGCTAGCTTCAAACTCGTGGCAATCTTCCTGCCTCAGCCTCCTGAGAGTGGGGATTGCAAGTATATGCCACCATGCCCAGCTATATAGACATTTCTTGTACACATTCCTATGATGCTGAAAATAATGTATTTTCTTCCATGTTCTATACCTGTTAATTAGAATAAAATCTTTTTCTTTTTAATTGTGTTGCCAAATTATCATCTATTTATACATTTATTGCCAATTTCACAGAGAGCGAAACTAACCCATGGTGTAGATTTTCTTATTTATCTTTTAGTTATCAATTTCTAGTTTACAAAAAATGTAAAATTATTTTCTTGCTAATTGATTCTTTTGTGAAATGACCCTCTTTATTTTAATTATGTTTTTGCCTTAAAAAATTTTTTTTTTGGAGACAGGGTCTCGCTATGCAGTTCAGGCTGGCCCTGAACTCACTTTGTAGCTCAGACTGGTCTCGAACTCGCGAAGATCCTCCTGCCTCAGCCTCCCAAGGGCTGGCATTACAGGTGTGTGCCACTACACCCAGCTCTTAAATTTTATTTTGATTACTATGAATATAGTTTTGTCATCTCCTTTTGTCTAGTATCAAAGTATGTTTTCATACACTTTTATTACCCTCACTTTTCTGAATCTTTGTATTTAAATTAATATATTTAGAGTGTCAGAAATCAAATCTGATAGCATTTAATTCTTAAGAGGAACAACTAATATAATCAATCTACTTATGCTCATTGTAGATATATTAATAAAAAGTCTACCATCCAAGGTGTGTTTTCTAAACGTCCTTTCTTGTCTTCTTTTGGGTTAATTGACCTTTTCATTGATTCTTCTCTCATCAGTCACTTCCCTCATAGCCTGAAGTCTCACCTTTGTTCCCGTTCTGTCACCAGCTACTGACTGACTGTGTTATGCATTCTGTGATGCGTCAATACGAGGGCTCCTGAACGCCGGAATCCCATTTTTATGTCCCACTATTTTCATTCTGATTGTTAAAAAATATGTTCCCACCCATGCGCTCACCGCTCCTCTAGCATACATGGGGTTGCATAATAAGTTCCACAATCAAGTTGCAAAACTCTACAGAACATCAGTTGTCAAAGTTTTCTGGAGCTGCCTTTCTGTAGTCAAACCTTTCCTTACCTGTAACCCCTCGTGTCCACTAATATCGCCTGTTCCTAGTTTGGCTCCTTCCAGAATGTCACATACATTGGGTGGGACTGTACGTAGCCTTCTGATTTTGGAGTTTTTCATACATGGACTCATTCACGTCATTCCGTCTACCAATAGTTTGTCCCTTTTGATTGCCAAGTAGCATTTCATTGTGTGGACTCAGCCAACTGAAGGGGACTTGGCATTTCAGTTTTCAGCAACTATGAATAGAGCTGCTGTAGGTTTTTGTGTAAACACACATTTTCATTGTTCTTAGGTAAACACCTCAGAGTGGGACTGCTGAGTCATAGGCTGTGTATGTCTGAAAATTTTCCAGAGCAGCTGTACCATTCTGTCTTCCCACCAGCAATGCGTCCTCCTCGCCCTTGTTACTGGGTTTTGTTTTGTTTTGTTTAAGACATTCTGGGAGGTGTTCAGTGTGTTTCCTTGGCGTTTTAATTTACCTAATCACTACAGATGTTGAGCTTTTCTTCATATGTTTATTTGCCATCTGTGCATCTTCTTAGAGAAAGCATCTTTTACAATTTTCTGTCTATTTATTTTCTGTTTGAATTTTGAGAGTTTTAAGTATATGACGTAGAGCCAGGTGCGGGGGCGCACACCTGCAATCCCAGCACTCAGGAGGCTGAGGCAGGAGGATTGTTGTGAGTTTGAGACCAGCCTGGGCTACAAAGTGAGCTCAAGGCCAGCCTGAACTGCATAGCAAGACCCTGTCTCAAAAAGACAAAAAAAAAAAAAGTATATGTAAGAAGTTCTTCATCAAATGTAATTGACAAATATTTTCTTACACTTTAACTTGTATTTTTATTTTCTTAACAGTGGCTTTCACAGAGAAAAATCTTAAATGTCGATGAAATCCAATTGATCAATTTTTTCTTTCATGGACTGAGAGACCCTATCTAAAAACTGTTACCTAATCCTAGGTCATAAGTATTTGGTCTTATGCGTTCTTTTAAAGGCTTTAGAGTTTTACATTTTTGTAAACAAATACATGACACATTTTGGGTTAATTTTTATATATACTCTGTGAGATATAGTTAAGTATTCATTGTTTTTATATGAGTATCCAGTTGTTCTAGTACTATCTGTTGAAAAGGTTACCCTTTTCCCACTGAATAGCTTTTCTAACTTTGTCAAAAACCAACTGATCGTATTTCTGTGGGTCTACTTTTGGACTCCATCCCGATCTGTTTATCTCTTTGTATCTATCCTTTTCCCAGTGCCTCACCTTCTCAATTACAGCAGTTGATATTAAGTCTTGAGATCACATATTATGAGTCCTCCGATTTTGTCCTTTTTCAAAACTGTTTTACCTCTTGTAGTTTTTCGCTTTTTCACATAAATTTTAGAGTCAGTGTGCCAATATCTGCAAATACTTTCTGCGGGGTGTTGATTGCTTCGTATTTACCAACCCTTTGCCACCTCCCGCAGGCTATTTCAAAGCAAACCCTCCATAGGCTATTTTCATTTTGTTCCACTAGATTTGGCTCTTTCCTACATACAAGGTTTATGAATATTCATGAAGATAAAAAATGATTACTGGTCAATATTTCTGCTCCAAATATCAAGCTAACAGTATTCCAGAGCTCCATATCCGTCTTTTAAACAATGCTCTATACCTCTATGTACTAGACAGGGCATCTGTAGCTTGCTTTGTGAAGTGACCTCTCAGCAACACTTCTGGCTCATAAACATGGTCTCTCTCTCCATCTAGTTAGGTCTCTGTTCGATTTTAAAGCAATTATTTGCATATACTGTTACATATATCTTGTTAGATATAGACATAAGTATTTCAAATTTTTGGTGCTTTTAAAATATTTCAAATGTTCAATTACGTATTGCTAATGTACAGAAAGATAACTGATTTTTAATGAGTTTATATTTTGCAACCCTAAACTTAAATTTTATAATGTAAATTTAAGATTTATTAAAATTTAAGATTTTATATTTCTATGTATATTTTCAATAACTGTATCATCTGCCAAGGGTTTTACTTCTTCTTTCCCTAATTATGTTCTTTCTTTCTTTGTTTTGTTTTCTTGTCTTATTGCCATGGTTGGTTAACATATTGCTTTTTACGGTTTCTTGGGAATTCCAGATAGTTTTGATCACTTTTATTAGCTCCAAAAATTATATATACTTATTTTATAGCATATAGCATATATTTTATAGCATATATCTGGTCACTGTTGTATTTATGCCTTCAGGGTCTGTTATCACTTGTACCAGTACCACAGGCTGAGTGACTTCAACAGGTGCGAGCTGTCTCATAGCTCCCGAGTCTAGAAGGCTAAAATCAAGGTGGTATTGGCATGGCTGGCTCCTTCTGAGCCTGCGACACAGAGGTCTGCCCCATTTCTTCTCCCGAACTTCTGGCAATTTACCAGCAAGCGTTGGTGTCCTGAGCATGTGGCTGCACCAGCCCTGCTTTGCTCCCTGTCCACAGGCTGTTGTCCATTCTTGGGTGTCTCCATTGATATTTCTGCCCTGGATAAGGACACCACTCACACTGCATTTGGAGCCCACTAATTACCAAACAAGAGCACATTCTCAGATGCTGGGGACTTCAGCATAGGACTGCTAGGGGGACAAAATTCAACTCACAGCATGTTGGCTCCTGTCCATGGTGCCCCGCTGCCCTGTATGTTTGGTTATCACTGAGTGTGCCCTTGTCTTAGAACTGAAAATGTTACATTCTACAATAACAGACGGATGGAAGGAACCTTCCTCTGGAGACGATTGTTGCTTCTGCAAAGCACCTGGGGTTACACCCGGTGTCAGTGCTCTACTTACTAAAGGTTGAAGTTCTCTGATTACCCAAGTGATACACATGTAAGCTGCAATCCACCCAGCGTTGGCTGATCCATGATTCCCACCCACTGAGAATCTATAGCTCCTTGAGCACCTGGCTTATTGCTTTTTACCCGGCAGTGCACCTGCTACAGGGCCTGCACTTTGTTTACTCATCCTCTCTCCCCTTCCACCCCATGAGGACATAAAACTAAAATTTAAAATTTCTAAGACTGGTAAAAGATCTTGTGCTTCCTCGTCTTTCTGGGCTACCATTTCTCTCTCACTTCTGATTTTTTATTTTTAAAAATAGTTTCAAAGAATTTCTTTTTTTTCTTTCCTTCCTTTCTTTTCTTCTTTCCTTCCTTCTTTCCTTCCTTCCTTGCTCCCTTCCTCCCTTCCTCCCTTCCCTTCCTCCCTCCTTTCTCCCTTTCTCCTTTCCTTCCTTTCTTTCTTTTTGGTCTTTTTGAGACAGAGTTTTACTATGCAGTTCAGGCTGGCCTTGAACTCACTTTGTAGTCCAGGCTGGCCTTGAACTCGCAGTGATCCTCCTGCCTCAGCCTCCTGAGTGCTGTCAAAGAATTTCTTATCTAAATAATTCTTAATTTCAAATGGGAGAGGGCTGAGGCAAAAACATTAGGCTCATTATTATTTGGTGGGGGAGAAAGGAACACTTAGTTTCTTCCTGTTCTAAAACTGATTTTCCATGGTGATCTCTGTAAGTACCCTACATTAGCATTTATTGAGGTTGTTTCAGGGTAATGAAACACTTATTCAAACTATTTTCTTATTTAAAATCAGTAATAATCCAAGGTCGCACAATGGGCATTTGAAACTCCATTTTTTTTCCTCAGTATTAATCTTAAAAAAAACAAAAAACCCTTACTTTATATTTGGGTTCATTTGGTACCTATTGAAGTGTGACAGAGAAAAAGTGATTCTAATACACAGGAACAAGAAAATCTATTTATAATATATAAACTAAAGTCTTTTCTGAAATTAGTATCTGAAGCTAGCGGCTAGGGGCTAGAATTTAATACCGCTGGAAGCTATTCTTCCTGAACTAAATCAAAGAAAATCACTACTGGCATTTTGACTTTAAAAGAGAGCTGGAGGCTTTCATTGACGAAATAAGGGGAAGATAAACAGCTAATCTAGAGAAAAGGTACATCGTGGGGAGAGAGATGTTTCTGAACATCAACTTCACAACTGTATGAAGACGTAAACAGAATTTATGGATAGCAGTGACCCAGTCACACAACTGGAGAACTACTGGACTCCGTTCTGAAATAATGATTCACAGGCCTAGAATTTAGCTCAGGAATGGCCTCCTGAAGGAGAATAAAAGTCACCAGAGAGAGCGGTCAAAGGCTCTCTCTTGATGTAATTATTTTTCTGGCTGATGTGCCTTTCCTGTGCTTTGTTCGACTGACACCTTTGGGTAACCTTGGATGACAAATGAATCCACTTAGCCCTTTTTCCTTTGAAGTCAAACATGGAGACGTGTTTACCTCCCGGATGAGGAAAATGATATTAAAATCCCCTGTATTTGCAGAGAACAAAAGGAATGCTGCCCCCGAGTAGCTTGAATACTGTGTATGCATGCCAGTCACCGCGCAGGGCCTGCTGTGTCTGACCACGCTGGGGCCTGGACACTCCCTCTCCCAACGCCCTGTCTCCTCTGTCAGCCTCTCCCGCCAGCCCCACAACCACAGGCTCTTCCTCGCTGTGGGAAACCCGGGCCTTACCTGTGTTGTCCTCGCCAAGGTCTTCTGCAGCCTCCCGAAGCTTAATGTCCATCACCCTCGTGGAAATCATGTCCAGCTCACTAAAATCAGAGGGAAATTCAAGTTAAAGGGCCATGCTGAACAGAAGCTATCAAGCAACATAATGGCGGCGGTGCCTGCTCTGCCCCTGACCTTGCCCACAGACACCCCTGCGAAGACAGAGCCTGGGCACAGTGCAGAACAATACAGGCCCCAAACCCAGCCACGGGTCCAAGGTCGGTGGTCACCTGAGCATTTTGCTAATTACCAGCTGAGGCAATTTAGTGGAAAACAGGACCACGCCATTTACACAATGCAATCAGGTTCTTTCTTCCAAAGCGTTCTTCTCAAATGATGAGAAGTTATACTGTTTTCACGTTTATTGTAGTTTAGAAAATACAGAGAATAGAACTCACCCATAATCCTGCCAGCAGGGATAACCACAGTTAATGTTTTAATCTCCTTCCAATATTTTTTCTGTGCAACTACTTTGTGTACATGCACACACATCAGGAAGTTTAAGTGCCTGATTTTTAAATTTATACTACCGTATTAGAATTCTTGATAGGTGTGATTTTAATGGCTACATCATACTGCGATATCACTTTATATTTTACATTGAATTTCTCGAAAACTTCCAAGCACGTATAAAAGAACACAGAACATACGAGGAACCTAGCATATGGCTCCTCCTACTGCATTTGCTTCACCACACCCCACTCACTAGATTATTTTCAAGCAAAAGATCCCAGACGCTATTATCAGTTCACCCAGATGGATCTGGCTTCTTTCTAAACAGAAATTTCTGACTCTTCACGGAAATCAAATACATGTTTCCTCGTCTGTACTTCTGCCACACAGTACTGAGCATTCCGTGTCCCTGTCTCCCATACCTGACCTCAAATTGTGTACTCTCTACAAAATGTGACCAAAACATATGAAGGTTTCAATTTTTAAAATGATTATGGCAAAAGCCACACTGCCATTCATCAGCCTCAAAATCCTCTCCCTTGCTTCAAAGCTCTTTGTCGCATCATTTTTGCCACTTTCTGAAGCAGTTCTAAAAGTCCTCTTTCATAAGTGTGTTTATGAAATGTGATTTAAAAAAAAATCACAGGGCATGCTGGTGCTGAGCACCATCCAGCCAAAGGGCTGACTCCTAAAATCATTACATGTATCCTCATCCACCCGATTCTCTGCATCTGGCACTGTGCAACATCCGGCTCTTCCACAAAGTCAAAATGACCGTGAAAGGGAATGTTCTGAACCAATTCGGGACATCAAGGCAGCCAACAGCACAACTAAAGACACTCAGGAAAGACCACTTCCAGAACTGCTGCAGGAAGTAGTGAGAATGATGAGATAAGTGTATTTGAAGCAAGGGAGAATATTCTGAGGGGGTTCATGACAATGTATCTTGTACTGTAGTAATTTATAAAATTTAAACATCCACTGTATGTTTTGATCACACCTTATGCACAATACACACAGTTCATCTAGAAAGCTATTTCTTCCTGGGAGAGACTCTGAATCCCCACACTTAAACAGGGAGGCTCCAATTCTTAATTAAGCAATTCACATTTATGACTTGTACACAACACATAAAAGAAAATTACAGGGTAAATACAAAGAAGAAGAAATTTAACAGGCAGGGGCCTGTGCCAGAGTTGCAACTACTATTTAGGTCTCCTTTAACGACAGTGTCAGAGTGTCTGTCCTCTTTCCTGGCTAATTCCTTAAAAGCTGAAAGAAAGCTTCGCCAGCTTCAGTTCTCAATTTTCATACAATTTGGCTTCTGGTCTTGTGTCAGCTCTGCCAAAAACTCTTTATTGGAACCTCACCAAATCTGACTCACGCTCATGCTATCGTTATATAGAAAATGAGGACGGAATAGAAATAGCGCTTTTCAAATTCTTGACCACTGTTTTGGGATTGAAAGAACTGCCTTGTTTTCACTATCTGTATTCACTGTCAAAGTAACAGACTGTGCGGTCAAACAGCAGAGCGACTACATCATTGCAGGCTGGTGACCCTGTCCAAAACCTGGGTGCTCTGAAAGGGCGCCTCTCTCACCCCCACGAAATGTCAGAATTAGTCAGCACCCTCCGGACACCTTAGTCTTGTGGCTCAGTGACATTACTGGAGGAGGGGTACCACAAGGCATGGGCGCAAGAGGCAATGGAAAAAGAAAAAGTGGGGAATAAGAGAGTGAAAAGGTGAGGGCTACTTAGGAGTCACCAGCTGCTGACCTGGGTACCACCTGAAGCTGCCACTGAGGTGGACAGACGTGCAAGAACTCTCCATTGTTGGGATGTGGAATCCACCACAACTGCAAATTACTTATTGAGTGTAGAGTGTCTCATCTCAATTATCCTATTTATCCCCCAAGAACTTTGAATGTTCTCAGTTTTTTTTTTTTCTGGTACCGGGAATCGAACTTACGACCTTGCGCTTGCCGGGCAGGTGCCATGCCGCTGAGCTAAATCCCCAGCCCCGAATGCTCTGAGTTTGGAGATGAGGCCATATGTGGTATGATTAAAAAATACAGTGAATATATGAATTTTTAAAATGATTACAATAAAATACACATTGCCATTAATTCTCTTCAAAATACTTCCCCTTGCTTCAAATGTTCATCCCATAATTCTCACTTTCTTTTCTTTTCTGTTCTTTTTTTTTTGGTACTGGGATTAAACTCAGGACCTCAAGCTTGCCAGGCAGGTGCTGTGCCCCTGAGCTATGTCCCCGACCCTGACCTGTAGTCTTTGAAGCAAGGTGACAGGTAAGTGTTACCGACCCTGTAGCTCCCAGGAAACGTGCGAGCCAGGTGGGAGGGACAGCCGCGCTCTACACCGTTGGCTGGGATGGAGTCTTGAGTAAGAGGCTATGACTTCCCAAAGCATAAATGATTACACATCCGAGCCGAAGCACCGACCCCAAAACATTACATACTGCCTTGAATTGTGTTATGCAGATGACTCTTCCCGCATAACCTCTCTGCACATGGCAGAGGTGACCTCAGGCCTCCTACCTAGCCCAGCTCATGGCACTCACCTACTTCCCGCCATTCTCACAGTCACTCATCCTCAAGCCACTCCCTTCTTCATGAATTAATAAAACCCAGATTCGGCCCTGAGTTGAGACCTTTGTTCCGGGTGGCCATCCTCCTAGCTGGACTTAGGACCCCTTGGCTCCCCACAACTACAAATATCCTTAGTGTCCTGATTCTTCTCATGGGTTGTTCTGGCAGCGGTAGATTGGAATTAACTCGCTAGAATTCTAGTAACTTTTCCATGGGATCACAAATATAAACTTCCTGGACGTGATGAGGACCAGGAAGGGCTCTCTATATACTCTGACTAATGCAGACCCCTAGATGATTCTGCTACTGCCACCACCCATCCCTCTGACACAACAAAGATCCCGGGGCTCAAATTTATGGAGCAAAGACACCCCTGTTGTCCCGGGGGCCAACGCATGTGAAAACTGGCACCAAGTGCCCTCTGGTGCCCCTCCTGAAAGGCCAGCGGACCCTACGCTCTGTCTGGCTCACTGCAAAGCAGACTGACAGCCATGCGGGTGAGTGCACGGGCCCAGGGAAACACGCACACCGCATCCGCACCACAGAACACCCAGGCGCCCTCCCTCCCTCCACGGGGCGTGCACGGTGTGGAAAGTGGCCCCATTGACCTGCTGTAGTCCAGAGGCTCAGAGTCACTTTTCCTGGGGTCACACAATGTGACTGTGATGAAGGGGCAACATACACAATGGGGAGAATGTTTTTACCGGCTGAGGGTTAGCTGGTAGGACTCACATCTAGAATATTAAAGGACTCAGAAAAAATTAGACCCTCCCTCCAAATAAAAGATCCCATAAAAAATGGGCATCTGAAAAGAACAGCCATTTCTCAGGTGAAGAATACAACTGGCCAATCAATACATGAAAAAATGTTACCACCACTGACCGTTCGAGAAATGCAAAATTAAGACAACATTAAGATTCCATTTCAACCCAGAAAGAATGGCATCATTAATAAATTAACCAATAAGAAATACTGGTGAGCTGCGGAGAGAAAGAGACCCTTCTCCATTGTTGGTGGGAGTGTAAGCTGATACAACCACTGTGGAAATCAGTACAGAAATTCCTCGAAAAACTAAAAATAGGAATTGTATTTTTAGGTATTTTCTCCAAAGAGTTAAAAACATCATATCACGGTGACGTATGCATACCCATGTTTATAGCAGCACAGTTCATAACAGTTAAATCTTGGAAGCAGCCTATTACCCATGAACAGATGAACGGATAAAGAAAATATGGTATTTACATACAGTGGAATACTACTCTGCCATGGGAAAAATAAACTTGAACGATTTGTAGGGAAATGGACGCAGCTTAAGACCATAATGTTTAGACAGACAAGCTTGAACATCACGTGGTTTCTCTTATATGAAAAAGTTACTATATAAAGTATAAAATAAAAAGACAGATAATAGGAAAAAAGGGGAAAACATTATCGCATTCTAAGTATGTTTCTGTTGTCGATTTCTAGTTTCAGTCTAATAGGGTGTGACAGCTCACTTGGCAGGATTTCCATTTCTTTTGATATGTTAAGGTCTTTATTGTTGCTATTAGCGTGGTCTATTTTGAATTAAAAACATAAACTCCCAGAGTAGGAAAATCTATGAACATAGAGAGTAGCTCAGTGGTTGCCCAGATTCAGTAGGGGAGAGACTGGGGGATGACAGCTATTGGATAGAGTGTTTTGTTTTGAGAAAACAAAAATGATCGAAGTTTGATTGTGGTCATGATTGTATAACTCTGTCAATATGCTGAAATCGACTGAATCGCACACGTTCAGTTTGTAAACTGTGTGGTATGCAAATTTTAGCCCAATGAAGATGTTATGTAAAATATAAAGAAAGTAGCACAGGGCAGAGGGTGCAGGAGGGGGGGGGGAGGGGTCTTCTACCCTCCCCCATGGAGGCTGAGCACCGTCAGATGCCCGCAGACCATGGACGCAAAAGTTAGGGATAAACAAAGGGACAGCAGACGGGGCTCACCT